TATTTTCGCAACTATAGGGATTTCAGCGACAATATTTTACCAGGCGATGCGTTGTGGGATGTGTAGAACAAATTAGCATCAAAAAGTCAATTTCGTGGGGTCCACTCGTGAGTAAAAAATAATTTTCCTTCGTTTTTTTAGCAGTTCAGTATACATTTCTCAGAAAAACTTGAATTGAAAATATAAATTTCTCAATAATTTTAATAACAAATTAAGCTCAATTGAGATGAGAAGTGTGTGAAGAAGTTTTAAGCACATGTGCATGCCGGTAAATCGGCATTAGTCTGATAAGATTCGAAGGCTTCCTATAGGTAGAAGCGCTTTCGTGCGATGGAGTGATTACCCTAATGATTCATCGCAACAGATACAGATTGGAACCCCAGTAGTTTACCACTTACCGACGACCATTGATGCGATCACTTAGTAGAAATATATACACATACTTCCAACATCATATATTAAAGGGCTTTTAACAATTTCATTCCTCTAGTCCAGCCAGCATTCACTTTCAGGGTTCCTTCTGAAAGAAAGTCGTCTAACGCCAATTTCAAGCCTGGCACCAGACTGATCCGTCTGCGCTTGTAGGATAAATTCAAGACTCAAACAAGAATGACATTTCCAAACGTTGTTAAACTTAATTTACATAGGTGGAATATCAAAAACTATTTCCAATACAATATGATTCAAAGCTTTGGCTAATTGAAACTCATTTTAATCTCAGTAAATACAGTGACACCAAATATGTACATACATATGTATGTAGACTGTATTTGAATAGTAGGAGTAATAAAAAAATTAAATGTGAAGTTTCAAAACATATTTCTAAGTTACATATATGTATACGTTCTTGTATGTACATGCATGCATATCGTCACCTTAACTCACAAATGCCCTAACCAACGCATTTTTCGAAATTGCTTTTTTCACAAATTTTGGCAGGATATATTATTAGGATATATCATTCTCTCGGTCGTAAATTAGGCTAGATTGTACGACCCGACAACATTGGTATTGTATACTGCCGTGTCGAAATAAGTAAACGACGAAAATCGTCGAAAACTAACTATGCAGTGCTGCCAAGATTTTTCCGTTTCCATCTCTCGAAAAACGACTTGCATTAGACACGACTCTCGCAATGAGGCTGAATGTTTTTTGGTTTTCCTGTAAAATAAAAAACAAAAAATGTTTGGTTAGGGCCTTTGTGAATTAAGGCAACGATATATTTGCATACTTTTATTTACAAAATTACGGAATACAATAAAAATAAACCACAATGTAAACTTACTATTAAAGGAATTCAAATACAATTAAACAAAGAGAAAAAATTAAAATTTTNCGAAATAAGTAAACGACGAAAATCGTCGAAAACTATGCAGTGCTGCCAAGATTTTTCCGTTTCCATCTCTCGAAAAACGTCTTGCATTAGACAAGACTCTCGCAATGAGGCTGAATGTTTTTTGGTATTCCTGTAAAATAAAAAAACAAAAAATGTTTGGTTAGGGCCTTTGTGAATTAAGGCAACGATATATTTGCATTCTTTTATTTACAAAATTGCGGAATACAATAAAAATAAACCACAATGTAAACTTACTATTAAAGGAATTCAAATACAATTAAACAAAGAGAAAAAATTAAAATTTACGCATAGTAGTACGCATGTGCTTAAAAGTTAGAATTAAAATAAACTTTCAATATGAAGTATGTATGGAATGCAAAGCAATAAATTCAAAATAAACCGATATATAAACTATTTACTTACACATGTGTATATATTCTTATTTGCTTAATTTGGTGGGCGTTGAAAGGTGCGCCGTTTATATATGCATGTACATATGTACATATATGTATATGTATATTCTTAAAGCTGGCGGAGTTTTCTTTTCGATCAAAAAATGTTACCACTCATTGTCAGCTTCGCACAAATAATAAGAGGTCAATAAAAGGCAAATTTTTGTGACTATTCTAGGATCTTTTTTGGTTAGAAAAGAAAGCTTGACTTTGCATTTATGCTCTCCAAACAGTTTTTTCATTGCTAACGCAACAGATAGCAAATAAATGTATCTGTGCCAACAAACGAAAGGAACTTATGTAACTAGTTTTGATAAAATTTGAATGTAGCATTTTGAAACGCTGAATTTGTATACCCTAGCAAAAGAAAGCCAGTAAATTGCCAATGCCCTACTTTCCGAGAATCCCTCTCAATAAGGGAAATATCGAAAAAATTCNGTTTTTTCATTGCTAACGCAACAGATAGCAAATAAATGTATCTGTGCCAATAAACGAAAGGAACTTATGTAACTAGTTTTGATAAAATTTGAATGTAGCATTTTGAAACGCTGAATTTGTATACCCTAGCAAAAGAAAGCCAGTAACTTGCCAATGCCCTACTTTCAGAGAATCCCTCTCAATAAGGGAAATATCGAAAAAATTTGAAAGCCCTAACCTTGGAAGTTCTTACTAGTTTATGAAATTTAATAAAAAGTTTTCAATACAAAAATGGATTCCTTTGCAGGAAACAGCAGGTAAGTAATTCACTGTTCTTGCTGGCAAAATATTACAAGAAATATTTTACCAGAAAAAAACTTGCAACTTGCACTCAAAATCAATTGTCTTTTGGCACTCTCTTACCCCTCCTATGCTAGTTTTTGCTTGCGACAACGCCAAAACATGAAAAGTCATAACAACTATTAAAAACTATCGCGTAAAAAAACAACTATTAAGAATTTAAACCTGACTTGAAATCTCTATTTTGGTACGATTTGGAAAAAATAGACTCGAACTTTGTTTTTACTTTACTTAAGCAGTTAAGGCTTTGCAACAAAAAACTATCGGTCCAAAATTTGTTAAATGTTTGCTCAAGTCTAAACAATTAAGAATCATGTAATTTCATCAAATATACCAAGCATACATATTCTTGACAATGAATACTGTAGTTCTTAAACTTATGACGATTTATATATTTTCAAATGAATCACAAGGCGATGGCATACTAGAAGATTGTTTTTGAGCATCCTCGAAATCCCACATGACCCGCATAAGTTTTCTCATAGCTTCATCCCTAAGATTGCTATTTAGTTTGCGAAGTTTAGTCGCCATCAGCGAGCAAAATATATCGCATTCGTTATTTTCGAAGGATTGCTCCACTTTTCTCAGTTTAGTCACTGTTGAATCGTTTTCCTCCCTGACAGTTTCATGCTTTCTTTTAGGATTTTGATTTTCATCTTCTCCGCCATAAGAATTTTCACATTCTTTTGCATCTTCATATTCTTCGTCTTGCGAGGTTTGCACAACAGTAATTTCCATCAAGGAATCATCACTTTCACAGGGGAACTGCGAAAGTAGAACATTGTTATACAATCATCAAGTAACATCGACTATGCTATTCGACTTACCGAAGAAATTTCATTGCTACATGTTTCGTTTTCCTGGCAGGTATCGTATACAAACTTCATAGCTTTTAAAAAACGCCAATTTGAAAAGTAAACTCGGTTGCTGCCGCTTGCGTGACTCTCCTTAATTTTTCTCAACTCGGCAGAACATTGCGTTCGTAGGCTCTTCCACTTTCTTTCTATATCACCCTTCTCCATACCCATGTTTTCAGCCACTTGGCAAATATCTTTTTCTCTTATGCTCTTGAGTCTGGAATCTTTTGTAGACTTGTCCCACAAAGATGGATGTTCTTTGTATTGTTGAATTAGTTGATAAATAGCTTGGGGGCTCCATTCCTGTTTTACTTCGCTAGAAGGAAAATCAAAAAAATATACAATTCACAACATTGACAGATAAAAAAAAATTATTACGTCGAAATAGGGAATTCTTCAAGCCTGGTTTTCTCTAGCTCACAATTCGACAAGGTCAGATGTGTATTCTCATCGTCTTCAGAGTCGTTACCCTGATCGAAAATCTAAATACATATTTTACATAATTTGTTAGTAATATTTCAATAAGAGGAAAAATTGAAAACTATTTTACTCACATAGCAATATTCTTTGCTTTCTTCCGCATTGCAGCTATCATACAGGAACTTCAGTGGTCTTAAGTAGCGCCAGTCCGAGACATACAAATCATCTATACTTTTACTTTTTCGCATTTTATTCAGTTCTGATTTGAATTGGGTACGTAGAATCCTCCATTTCTTTTTAATATCCTCTTTTGGTATTCCCATCAATTTGGATATCTGTGAAAGAGCTTCATCTTTTTTATAATTTATCTTAAACTCTTCATCATTTGGATTCCACAGCAACGGATGAGCTTCGAAATAGTGAATAAGTTCAACAATTCTCTCTTCGCTCCACTTATTATTTTCCACCTCACTGCCAGGAAGGAAAATTAAACCTTAGAAAGCCTCGAAACTGATAACAAAAGGAAAAAAGTGTATTTACCTTTTCTTACCATCTCCTGACGATTGGTTGCTTTCCTCATGTCCGCCCACACTTTTGTGATTTGTATCGACAATAGTTTCATTATGATCTGACTCGTCGCATTCCATTTTAAGCTATATTTAATAAGAGAAGTTATTGTAACAGTGATTCAATTTTAGCTTGCGAATTACTAACTGGGCTCATTGATTCCTTGATTGTTACTTGACTATGGTTACGTTTTTGATATAAAAAACTCATATAGCCAAAATATCGCCATGGTGAAACATACTCTTTGCCTGTCCTCTTGCTTGCCTCAATTTTATTCAGCTCAGATTTATAAATGGTGCGAAGACTTTTCCACTTTTTATCTATGATAGATTTTTCTACACCCATAGAGTTCGCTATGAAACGAATATCCTTTTGTTTTTTTCTCTTCATCCTATACTCATGTGAATGCAGATCCCACAGAGACGGATGCGACTTAAACAACTCGATTATTTTGATCATATCCTTTACGCTCCATTTGCCCATTTTTCTGCAACTGTTGAAAACCCTGTAATTTTTATATTTGTGTCGAAACGATTGTCAAGTATGTATTCCTCGCTTATTTAAAGGTGTATATGGGCTTGCTGATCGCTGTGAAAACGGATAGGGCACTTGGTTTGCTGGAGAGCTTTGGCAGCAGAATCGCAGGACTATGCGGTAAATCCAATTAAAATCCGAAAATATGCAAATCTGAAAACATGCATTTCACCCCTTANTAAAGGTGTATATGGGCTTGCTGATCGCTGTGAAAACGGATAGGGCACTTCGTTTGCTGGAGAGCTTTGGCAGCAGAATCGCAGGACTATGCGGTAAATCCAATTAAACCCGAAAATATGCAAATCTGAAAACATGCATTTCACCCCTTCGCATTTTTATTTGTAACAAAGAAATTGTATTTTTCCTACTTTAACTGTTTGCAGCAGTAATTAAATATATAAAATAAGCGCCTCAGTCTTTCCTATTTTCTTCCTTTGTAAAATGCAGAAATATGTACAACAAGATTGCCAGCAAGTTAATTAAAATGGATGGCCGAATCCAAGGCGCAATCAGTGTTGCCAGTTTAACTATTTTCCTTCTAGACTTAGCCAAAGAACGTAAATGTCTGGATTAACGTTTTGTGCATACGTTCTTTGATATACGTTGTTAGACAAATCGACGTGCAACCGCCATGTCATGGANACACAGCACAAATGGCTTGAAGCAAAGGGAGGTGTTTGAAGGTTTGACAAACCGCTTGTGTGGTGTATTTCGCTCTTAACTATTTTCCTTCTAGGCTTAGCCAAAGAACGTAAATGTCTGGATTAACGTTTTGTGCATACGTTCTTTGATATACGTTGTTAAGAGCGAAATACACCACACAAGCGGTTTGACAAACCAAGCGAAATTTCCCTTTGCTTCAAGCCATTTGTGCTGTGTATGGGGGTGTTTGAAGGTTTGACGGCGGTTTGTCAAACCTTCAAACACCCCCATACACAGCACAAATGGCTTGAAGCAAAGGGAAATTTCGCTTGGTTTGCCAAACCGCTTGTGTGGTGTATTTCGCTCTTTAGACAAATCGACGTGCAACCGCCATGTCATGGCGCGCTTCTATTACAATTGGCTGTCAAATATCGCAACTTCTATTACTGGCAAATGCCAAATATGCCAGGGCTGATTTTTTGACACGAGTTTGGTTTCTTTTTGCTTCCTTTCCTTCTCTGTTTCTACTCAAAATGGGTGAGTTCGGCTTTTGCCCGGTGCTAGAATTTTTCAAGAAAATCCCAATACATCGTGCTGTTAAAATGTGGAAACATTTTGAAAATGTTTATAAAGTAACCATTAGAATGTGAGGTATGATATATTCAACTTATTTCAATTGTGAAGTCGCCATTGACCAAATAAATTATGGGTGATTGGCAGAGACCAGAGCTGGAAATATCAGCGAAGTTTGAAGTGATAGTGTGCGGATTTTCTTGAAAATTCATTTGTAATTTTTGAAGTAAGAATTTGCAATCTAACATATTTAATTACATTCCTAGGTATTAGCCGCGATAGTGCTCATAAGCGCCGCTCCACTGGTGGCAAACGCAAGTCGCTCCGCAAGAAGCGCAAGTTTGAGTTGGGTCGCCCAGCAGCCAATACCAAGGTAAGGAAAAGTACTGCATCTTATGAGTTGCAATGTTGTATACTACTCACTCAACTAGGTATACTGATGATTAACTACGTTAACTGTAAGCGCGTTCAGTTCCCTTTGGACCTGTACAGTTTTTGATGAATGCATAATTATGTTCGGACTACTGATATACATAAATATATTACATACAACTTGTCATCTATTTAATAAAGCTTCGAGTAACCGTTATCAACTTTTCATTTTAGCTCGGTGCTCCACGAGTTCACAAAGTACGCACACGCGGTGGTAACACTAAATTCCGCGCACTGCGTCTAGAAACCGGTAACTTCGCATGGGCGTCTGAGGGCATTGCTCGCCGCACTCGTATTGCCGATGTTGTCTACAATGCCTCTAACAATGAATTGGTGCGTACCAAGACTTTGGTAAAGAACAGCATTGTTGTCATTGATGCCACACCATTCCGGCAATGGTATGAGTCGCACTATGTGCTGCCTTTGGGACGTAAACGTAATCCCAAACACCAGAAAACTGAAGATGAGAATGATGTACTGAATAAAAAGCGCAGTGAAAAAGTGATGAAAAAGTACTTGGAACGTCAAAAGTTTGCTAAAGTTGATCCTGCATTGGAAGATCAATTCATCTCTGGACGTATCCTTGGTAAGTGTGTTTTAAACAGAAACAGAAAAGATCGAATAAAAAATGATGTTAATATCTTAAGCGATCCAAACAATTTTATTGTACCAAACTTGTTCTAAGTGCGGTATAAGCCTGTTGGGCGTGATAATAGCTTGTCATAGTTACTCTGATTTTACTTTGAACTTTTCATCTTGTTTCTTAAGCATTTTTTATATTTGCTAATATTTAATTTTAATTGTATTTTACAGCCTGCGTATCATCCCGCCCGGGTCAATGTGGCCGATCTGATGGATACATTCTAGAAGGCAAAGAACTAGAATTCTATCTTAAGAAAATCAAGTCAAAGAAATAAACACCCGTCAAAATTCAACTGCAATTTGACTAAATTTCTACAAAAACTAAAAAATTAATGAATGCTGCGTTTTTTGTAACATTAAAATGTGTGTCGTAAAGCTGTTCACTCAAACTGTTTCTCAAACAACATAAACAAAAATTCATCTCATCTTTACTTTCACACTACTCACTACCTCATCTTACCTGCTTAAGTTTTCAGTTGCTGTTTTTAAATTTCTTTTCTCTCGACATTATCAAACAAAAGACTTCAATCAAAATTGTACCAGGTAAGTCTGCATCTGGTACTTACAGTTTGAAGCAATTACGACAGTTTTACAGGAGATGGCTACAGTCATGATATCTTCAAACAAGAAATCTATTTAGCATTTCTTATTAATTTAAAGCATGCAAGTGTTTTACTATTACTGTAGTCGGGCCTTGAAATTGTCGAGAGATACAGATGTTTCCATAAGACAGTTAAAGATATTTTCGGATCATATTAGGCAAATCCGATAAATAAATATCGGACGCACCTGGAAGGAGGCTGGACTTCCAGCAGCCTTCGTTTTGACACATGTTTGCACCCACTACGCTGTGTTCGTAACTTCGTTTATTGGTTCCTACTCGTACTTCTTGGTCTGTAAATTATTGCAGTATGAGGACGTCAAGAGTTTGATAACTATAAATCGGGTGTGCCACTTTTGATGGCGAAGAACTTTAGTTGTCTAATGAGAACTTTGTCACTGGCAAAACTTCGGACTGGATACTTGTAGGTTAAACGCCTGCC